AAATTGTGTCACTCGTTGATTTTTACGCGTTTCACCTCGCGAAATGGGTTGAGTTGATTGTATATGCCCCCATTGAGTAAACTGTAATAAAGGAGAGCAGAATTATCCATGGGCACGAGTGCGGTCAGCAAAAAGGAGATGCAATTCCGATTAATGCCCGCCGCCCCAACTAAGAACAACTGAGTGGCCTCGTCGGAGGGCATCTAGCAAGTAAGGCGGAACTTTGAGCGGCTGTAGCTCGCTCCCCGCTCACTATGGAGTCGAATAGAGTGGGACAGTCTCTAGCTTGGGGCTGTACTACTTGCACAAGGAAGGACGACCATGTACTACTCGAGCGCAGGGAGCGTCTTTCAAAGAATCCATGCTTGCAGATGCCCTGGTTTGCTGAAGAACTCTCGAGATTGGAGCTTTTTCGGAACGTTGCTCTAGAAGACGACAGTTCACGACTTCATGGCTGCTTACTCCACTAGCTGGCAAACAACCTGAATCTTGCTCTAGTGGGTCAGCTTCTTAGGCGTGAATCATTGCCAAAGACGCCCTGCCAGGTGTTAGCCCACTGATCGCCACCGGCGGACGTTCTCTTTATCACCCTCCTGCTCACTCATCACTGACTCATTGGCAACCTTTGAAAATCTCGACTTCCGTTAAAGTCTAAGCTCAACACTGCATAATCAATAATTTACTACTGATCAATACAAGTATAATAGATACCATGAGATGCTCAGACACCTTGTACATGTGGGGGATCTCAAAAGAATCGCTTCCAATGGACTAGTGACATAGTTGGCAAGCAGTGATGGATATACGAAAATGAAATGTGAAAGGAGCAGCCCATTTTTCGGCTATGCAGGGGAAGTAGGGTGCCCACAAACTTGGCTGTGAGCGCCTTGGCGGTGCACAGTCGCCCATGTTCTCTATTGTCGTTGTCTGCATCTCTGCCGCGCTTACAACCAGTTCCGTGGACACGCCCTTTTTACAGATAGGTAAGATTTTATGTACACACGTCCAAGTGGGACTTACACAAAATCTAACTGACATTGAACAACACAGCGATACTGAAAGATTGCCGAAGAAGTTGGACACATTAGTCACAACATGAGATCGAATTATTTCGAATTGTACACGTATTTTAAAAACAAAATTTGTAAAATATGACCAGAGGCACTTATGACATGTATACAACTGGAACTACTGTTAAGTTTAGAATTAGTCAAAAATTATTACAAAAAGTCATCGCACTAAAGGTACCCGATAGATGCCCGTCAACAACGGAGAGCAAGTAGATGGTGTCTTATTTGGGACAATGTCGACAGGCTGGCTCCAGCTGATTCGCTGGATAACTGTCACGTCACATTGATCAGAAGCGGTCCATGAGCCATGGTGTCTCTATCGCAAAACGAAGAGCACATCTGAAACAATGGTGACGTGAAGCGCTTGCTACTGGTAACTCAGTAAGTAATTCTAGCAAGCGCTACGCACTAGAGTAACAAGAGTGCCGCTAGGATGCATTTATACTTTGCGGCGTAAAATCGCCGCTTTACGGGATGGAACAACAAGCGCGAATGCGTATTGATGTGACGTTCCAGGAGGATACGAGCCAAAGTATAGAAGGGTATCGATCGGCTCCGGTCGATAGTGTTTCGGAAACAGGAGATTAGAAGAATTCTAGGCTTTGCGACTAGACGTCTTAAAATAGAGGCGTTGCTATCTTGGCCTTATGCCGTTTGGGCTCGCTCAATTTTGGCTGATGGCGAAGTGCCTAAATCACCAAATCCGCTGAAAACTTGTATACAGGGTAATCAACATCCTGATTACGAATATGACATTCATTCTTGGCGCTGGCGCTAATGGAGGACACTACGATTATCTTCTGGGCTCAGCCTTAGCAGAGCGCAGATATCGTAGTGTCCTCCATTAGCGCCAGCGCCAAGAAACGAATGTCGTATTCGTAATCAAGATGTTATATAACCCCTGTAATACAAGTTTTTTGCGGATATGGTGGCTTAGGCCCTTCATAAATAAGCTAGCAGCCAAACTGAGCGCGTCCAAACGGTATCATTCACTCTTTTGCGACGACACTGCAAATGTTGCCTATTTAACCACTTCGTCTGGGACCCTTCCGAATCTTTCTCAAAACACTAGTGACCGGTGCCGATCGATACCCATCTCTCCTTCCGCACTCATTTCCAAAAAAGGTCGGTTCTGCTGGTTTTTCCAAACGCTGGATTGATAACCATTTGTCTTTGGGTGCGTAGTCTCCCAATTGCCTTCCGACTGTTCACCAGTAATTGTGAACGTAAATTTATTACTCGGACGCTTGTCCAACTAGAGCGCAACAGCGAGAATCAAAATGGAAGGAAATACTTCACTAGAAGTCCTACTCACCATTCCTCAGTTGCAGAAAGGCCCATTTCACGCTCACTTTAGCGGAGCCGGGAATACTGCTGGGCTTCATTGGTGCACCTCCAACCTACTGTTGAAAGAACAGGCACACCAATGAAGAAGACAGAGTGGTAGGCCCGGCTAAGCCTTGCTAATTGCAATCCTATGATAGGAAGGGTCTAAAGAGGCTCAAGCACACGGGTTTTTTGTACATACTCAACCGCCTCTCGCTGAATTGTTCATGGCGCATCCCCGTACGTGAAGAAACAGATTGGCATGTTTTGTTTCTCATTTCATTCGATAACTACGAAAGCTTACCTGAAGTTGGTGATTCTCAAATGTTATCGCATCATCACTACGCTGGCTCAGTACTGATTGTCCCGAAACGGACTGGATCATTTTCGATCTAAACACGTTACCATTTTTTTGAATGCAGAGATCGATATGAAATCTATAACAGCTGCTAGCAACTGCTCCGCATGTAACCAACAAACTACAGTCATGATTACTACAAAGATAGGGCGTGTGAAGGGGTGTGGCTTGGAGGGCAGCAGTGGCAGCGTTTCCCGCCACTTGCTGCGAACTCAAGATGACATTATTGGTGGGAGATGCCGCTTCGAGTACGCTCCAATCCACGCTTCATCACATGCCCTGTCGTTTGCAGGTGTCCTAACTGCAGTCAACGTTAAGCTACTTGGCCTCTCAATCGGTTGGGGTACCCGAGGTATACAAGAAAATGAAACCGTATTGTGGAACTTACTGTTGCCGCGCTCGCAAGTAGATGAAGTATCTATTGTACGTCCATTTTCCGCAGAAGAAAACAAATAGAACAATAAATATCACACTGAAAATATAGGCAATTTTCTCAGTTCTCTTTTTTTCGGCTCAGCTCAATTTAAGAACAAACTGCACACTCATCCTGCGAGGGCGGTCGTTCCCATGTTTGATGTGAGTTTGTCCGGAGCTGCTGTAGCGTGCCACCAGACGTGAGAGGGTGCAGACAAACAGAGCGTTTGGATATGGTTGGCGTGCGCTTGGTAGCGCGGCCGCGAGTGCAGTCCCGAAAGGCATGAAGAGTATCATTACCTTCCACCCCGTCCCGTACGCTTTTAAGCGGAGAGAGAGTGGCACCCCACAACAGCTGCTGAGCCTTTCATCTCGCATATGGCAAGGACCAGGATTCACGGAGGTGTGTGTACAGTTTGTCGTCAAGGTTAGAATAGAAGAAATTGAAGCATTACTTACCAAATAACTACTACTCCCTCGACCCCTAGATCTTCCATGATCGAACGACTTCTTTGAGTCCTTTCAGACAGGCATACACTGTGAATGTCAGTACCATCATCGGTAAGAGACCATCGTAGACAGATTGTGTAGACCTTGAAAAAGTAGGTTACTTGCGTGAACGAGAGTGTGTGCGTGTCCTTAACTTTAGTTAACGATGGATGCGATTATCATGAAGGTGAGGTTCTCGCAAACTTACCCTGTCTGGCAACAGATTGATCAAGTTGTAACTGCAGTAGATATTGTGCAGTGAAAGCAGAACCACTCGTTTGAAATCGCTTGCGCTTGTTGAATTCACTTGTAAGGCAACTCTGAAAAAAAAGAAAAAAATTAGAGTTCAAACCCATTACCATTGATAAGTTTCCTGGGACATTTCTTATTCAATTCAACTCTAAATACGAAAAGCCATATAAGCTCAAATTTTTGAGTGAGTTGGAATCCATTGAAGATTGAACAACACAAGTAGGAAAGTGTGTCACTAACACGAGTAATGATTACTAGGGCAATAAGTTCATTATCTCGTGTGTGTGCAGGTTGAATTTCTGTGTGAACGGCCACTATGTGGCTGCAACGCGATTTTTTTTACTTTGATTACTATAAGTATTCTTAAAGAATTACCGATCAACCGCTTGCACATCGATGTTCCGGTCACCGGCCAAATGTAGCTGAGAACACCGAGAGCCTGGATAAACTGTGAGGTGTGTTTATGTTTCTGTTTAATGGAGTGTAGACCGCTTTTGCCGTCCAAACGCTTTTAATGACTACCGCGCGGTTGTTTTATGGTTCCATGAAAGGTTGAACGATTGCATCCAAACAAACTAAAGTCATACTTGAGAGAAAATCAGGCGCAATTAGGCTTAGAGGGGCATTTTGCACATTTTCTTAGCTCGTTGTTGGGAGAGGGACTGCCAAAAATCTATACAACTACTATTTCCGATAGTTAAAAATGAAGCTAAAATCCAACTTCCCCTTCCCCCTCCCCCTGCCGCTCGACGGAAAATTCTTGGCTGAAAAACTGGAAATTTTTCGGGAAAAAATGGAAAAAGTGGGGAAAAAGTGTTATGAAGTTGGAAAAATCTAGGAAAGTGGTAGGTACCATGGGGAGTATTTTTCAGGAAATGATCACAACGCGATGGCGTGCCCTGGGTGTAGAGTCCGGCGGCCTCTCCCTATCACAGAGGGTTCAAATTCATATCCATACCGAATTCAAGAAGTCACCATGTATCTGAATGGAAATAAGCAGGCGTGTCGCATTCAAAAAGGGTTTGTCAACGGTTAAGAGCGATCCCTTTATCGTCCTGTCTACGGTAGGGACTATTCCTCTTTTTCCTGCTGAAAGCCCTGTTACCCTGTTCGATTTTGAAGTCTGGACCCATAAACGACATAACAGATGTGACGCAGTAGAGTAGGTGACTACTATCCATTCGCATAGAGCGCGAAGGGGTCTGCTCAGCTGAATCAAAGCTCTCATCCCCGGCGGTCAGTCCGTTGGCGTTGGTTATACTAGCGTGGCCGGAATTGGTGACCTGTACATACTCTGACCCTCCCAATATCGTTTGAAAAGAGCGAGCGTGCACGCGTCCTTAATAGCCCTTTGATCTTGAAGAGCCGGGAAACAAGTGCGCCCGAGCGGGTCAAGCAACCCCCTACTTTTCAAGCTCCCATTTCCATAGTTTAAAAATTCTTTTATTACACAAAAGTCCGCCATTTCTCCTGATCATTTCAAAGTCGAACAACTACCGTCCACATCCAATATACATTTTTGTAAAACTGTTTACGTTCCAGTTTCATGAGTTAATTTCCTTTTCAATATGAGGTCTGATCAAC